TTTATTTTGCTAGTTTTTCAATGTTAGGAGCATAGTGAGTCTAGTCAGGATTTGGTCTATGTTTGGGTTTTGTTGTTCTTTTGCTCTCTGCATCACAGATTCAAAACTCCTCCAACATTACCTTGTGCTCAGAGTGGTATCTGTTTGTTGGTGAAGTTTCTTTAATGTCTACTTAAGCCTAGGTTTAAGTCTTTCCTTTGAGATTCATGTTAGGGAGTTTTTCCCTCTGCTTTTCCTCCTTTTCCATCGGTACACTGAGGTTACTTTCTATTCAATACTGTGTAGCCTGATGGGAGGGTGTGTGGGTATTCCCTTAAGGACTAGGCAGGACCTGTGTCTCTGGGTCTCAAGATCAAGACCCATCTCCATTATCTTCCCTCTGTTTCTTGGGAAGGAAATTCTTAATAATTTGGGCCAGGATGTTTACTTTTTTGTACTCAGGGTTTGAGGGTATTTTTGTGTTCTATTCTCCCAGTTACAATGAGCCTTAACCTGTGGCTGAGAGCAACAAATTCACTGCCCATCCACCAGAAAATGTATGCTTTTGTTCCTTGGAGCAGATAGACACTGAAAATTCAGGTGGGGTTTTGTGCTTTACTGCAAGGCTTTTGCTCCTTTTCACAAAGCTTGCATCTTTGGGGGAACTTGTGCGGCACCAAGGTTTCTCAGCAGCAGCTCTGTTGGCATAACAGAGCATAATTCTTGTTGTAAGGGGGCTCTCTATGTATTGTAGGGTACTTCACAGCATTCCTGGCTTCTAATGACTGGACACTTGCAGTATACTCCCAGCTATGGCAATCAAAAATGTCTTTAGAGGTTGCCAAAACTGTAGGCAAAATTGCTCCTTGTTTAGAACTACTGCCCTGACTCGCCTTTTCTCAGCTTTCTTCTGAGTGCTCAGGAAGCCTGTGGAAAAGAATCTGTGAGTGTGTTTGAAGATTCCATCAGTTTTATACTCTTACATTTGGTCAATTAGCCAGTTTTCTGTCACTGTGACAAAATACCTGGGAGAAAAAATTTAAAAGGATGAAAGGTTTATTTTGACTCACAGAAGGTTTATTTTGACTCTCAAAAGTTTCAAATTCAGATGCCTGTAGGGGTCAGGCAAGAAATACAAATGAGGGAAGTGTGCTGGGTCTGTTTGCTCTTATTTTCCCTGACACTTGTGGTCTGCTTTTTATAGTGGCAGGGATATAGAGAAATCTTTCTTTATAAGCAATGCAAGTGGAATGATATGTGAGTACTCTCTTATTGCCTAAGGACCAGGAACATTTAGTTGGCCTGCATGTATACAAGTTGGGGTATGCATTGTGACAGTTTTGGGGCACACTATATTGTCCTAAAGCCACCTACTGAAGGTACTTGCCTGTTCTGAGACAATTTCATTCAACTTTATGTTTTTATCAAACACTCACTACTTCCTAGGCTCTGCTATAGCTGTGAGGATGCAGCAATGAAGAAAGCAGCCCCTGTCCTTACAGAATGTATAGTTTAGATTGGGGTCTCCAATGTGGAGGGTGGAATGGTCAGCACAGGGAATATTGCCCATACAACATGCTCATGCCCTGTCACCATCTATACATACCCCATCCAACTGTGGTTTATCACTGATGTTGACCTTGTGCTGGCAAAGTTTTTAATTTCACCAGGGGAGCCAGAAATAGATTTTTATCTTAAATTGCAAATTTCTTATTTTTAAATGACACAAGATTTTCAAAATCACCATGGTGGTAAACAAAATACATTTGCAGACATTGCCCTTGCCGCTCTGCTTGAGAAGAAAAATGCAGTGAGTGACAGCTATAGCCATGCTAATTCTCTTCTTTGAAAGCAATGAACCAGTCATCAGAGATTTGGCAAGTCCAAGGCTTGATTTGCAATGAAAGGTTAGCAATTTCAGGGAAAGCCATTAAAAAAATAAGCCTTAAAACAAGCAAGCAAACAAAAAGTGACTGTACAAATCAGCTGGTGATCATCAACCTATACTAACAGATTGTGGTCCAGAGGTTACTTGCAAACAGGTTATATTGCAATTATCAACCTGTTAGCACATTTGAGACTGGTTTTAAAAAAATGATCCTTATTGTAAGGCATTTGTACTCTAATGAACATTCTATACTGTGGTCCAAACTTGTAGTCACAGTGAGAGGTCTATAATAGTGCTCATCAATTATTAAGTCTAGTGTTCTTGAAAAGAAGTTTTTTTAAAATTTATACTGTTTATTACTTATTTTCCTTTTTCAAAAAGTAGGCAACTTTGGGCTTTTTTTTCTTTCTGTAGTGGGGTTTGAACTCAAGGTCTCGTGCTTGTTAAGCAGGTGCTCTACTATTTGAGCCATGTCCCCAGCCCTTTTTATACTTTAGTTATTTGTTAGGTAGGGTATCATGCCCAGGACCAGCCTCAGACTCTGGTCCTTCTGCTTATGCCTCCCACATAGCTGGGATTGCAGGCATGAACCTACCCTTGCCTGCAGCTCTTGGATTTTCTTAACAATGAAATTTTTCTATGTAGCAAATGCATGAATTTTCTTATTGGCTGTATATTTTTCCTGTTATTTCATAGATGTGATAGGTATTTTAGGGGGTGTGGTGTCTACGTTAATTACTAATTTATTGAAATCATTATTGACTAACAAATACTACTCATCTTACTCTGAATTTGCCATTGTGACTTTCATCACCCCTCTTTGCTGATATATTTCTTCCACTTGCCTTTGCCTATTTGACTCTACCCTTCCATCCATTCCTCCAAGTTCACTCTGAGACCCCTCACCAATTTCCTGTGGCCTCTGTGAGCTTCCCACTGGTTCTGTGTCTCTGGCTTTTCTGGATCATCCTCACATTTACCTTCTCCATTCTCTTCCTCAGTGCTCTTAGCAGGTGAAAGGCCGTTTTGAACACTATTCTTTTCTACTTTTGAGGTCCTCAGATTAAGCTCCCAGGAATTACATTGAGGATACATTTTCATGTATCACTGTTCCCACCATGGCCAACACCTTTAAGCCTTCCAGCCTGGTCACTTATTCACTGGTTTTCCTCCAGATCAAAGTGGTCCTTGAGTTGTGAGGGATCTGACTACAAACCCCAAATTCCAACTGACAGAAATTCAAGGACTAAGATTCCTTATTACAAATACTGCTTGATTAAAGCTTCCAGATTTCCCAAGCAGGGTGGCACACTGGATAATACCCATTGCTTATGAGTTGGGGAAAAGGCAGTTTTGTGCCTCTCCTGGCTGTTAAGATACACACTGCTCTTTTTTTGAGGTAATCAACTTCAGGATATATTTTATTTTTATTATCATATTATTGTTGTATTGGGGTACATTGTAACAGTTACAAAAGTGCTTACAATACACCTTAGTTAAATTCACCTCCTCCATCATTCTCCTTTATCCTCCTTCCCCTGCCCCCCTTCTTAGAATAGTTTCAACAAGTCTCATCTTTCCGTTTTCATGCATACTCCTGCTTTTTATCAAGACACTTTCTAGACTCAACTATACTGATTACATTCTAGATATTTGTGCAGAAAGATATTTAACATGCAGCCTTCTGTAGAGGGAGAGAAGTGACCTGCCTTATTGAAAGTTTTCTAAGCATTTCATTAACACTGACAGAGGCAACCTGTGTGTGCTGTATTTCTCATACACTTTGGATTACATGTTGGCAAAATATATTTATAATTACAATGACAGCAACTTGCAAAATATATTTATAATTACAATGACAGCAACTTCACAAACTGAAGACATTTTGAAAGACAAAATTAACTCTTAGATTCAGACCAAGTTCAAGGAAACAAAAGAAAACTGATTTCCACTCCACATATGTTTTGTAAAATATATGCTTTTGAATTGCTCTTCAGTCACTATGCCATGGAAAACAGACAAGTTAAATCTCAATTTCTGCAAATTGACTACAGTTTTCCCATTTTGACTTTACTTTTTTCTTTTAAATACTTTCATACACATTTCCTTTATTTAGGAAGCAATCATTCAATATAATCTTTGAATGTTTTATTATGTTACTCTTACATAAAAATTAGCTCTTGAAGGATGAATGTCTCCATTTTGTCAACACTGATAGCTATTTAAGCTCACACACATACTGGGTAGTGACTTTTTAAAGCTATAATTGATAGCGTTGAATAAAAAGAAGCATGACATGTAGCACTCATACATGTGGGTTTTTTTAAACTACCAAATCCTGGTAATCATTTCAAAGGGGCAAATTCCTAGTTTAAAACACTCCTTTGGTAAATGTTTATGATAATTTAATAAATGCTAGCACCATCGTTCATATTTTAAATTTCCCATTTACTATAATCATCTGACCCCAAACTGTGTTCTAATATAGTATTTCTGTCAGTTGAAAGAATATCAATTAGAATTACTTGAAGGTTGAACTTGATAATCTATTGCATGACTCTGCAGTTTTAAGGGTGTAAAAACCCCATTTTCTTTCATTAAAAATTTTATATTCCATATCTTTGCTAGATAACATTTGTAGGGTTTAATCTGGTTGGCCCTGAGTATACATATTTATCACTGCCTTTATCAGATGTTATCTATTCACAACAGTTGCAAATCTAGGTCATAGTTTTTTAAAAAGATAAGCACAATACTACTTTCCTTAGGCATGTAGCAATAAATTGTCATCGAAACTTTAAGGAAGCCTGAATTTGATCATCTTTTGGGCCTACCATAGGAACTTTTGATAAAGTCTTAATTTCCCTGGAGATTGTGTTTGTAAAACATTTTTTGAATATTTATTGATTTTGTTTTTTAAAGGTTTGGGTAAACAAACAAAGGTAATAATAAAAGAGGACACCAAATTAAATTCTGTTAACTTTATACTTAGGATTTTCAAGACCATTAAGTAGCATCATCGCTCTGCAACCTCAAATTGCTTCATATATCTTTTGGTGGGGCCAATTTATTCTGGTGTATTATTTTTCTTTTTTAGAGGAACTTGATTTAAATCTGTGCATCGCCAAGGGCAAGGAGCGGAGAACATGGATCGAGAGGTGAGATTGATGTTAACAGTAACCTCCTCTTTGATATTTTCCTTTAAAAGCAGCCTTTTAAGCTTTATTTTTCATAATATTATCCACAGATGGAAAGTAGAAAAGTGAGTAGAAATTTCGCCTCCTTTGTAGCACTCACGAATAAAGAGGATGATTAATGAGTGTAGCTAACAGCGTAGTAGTACAAGAGAGTCTAGAGAAGTTAAACAAAAGTGCCTTCGGAATGTTCAAGGATTCCCGGGATCAGAGTGGAAACTCATTGTGCCTGTCCACTGTTTCTATTTTTGATTAGATTTATAAACACAGCACCACATATTTTCATGTGGTTTATCGCCCAGGGGCAGAATTAGATTGACTGCACCGAAACTGTGAGGCTTGTGAGTTTTGGGCAAGGGTTGGAGTGAAATAAGTAGTGTAATTGTTTTTGTGGAGTGAACGTGGGCCCTCCTCTGTTCTGAATTACACATGGCTCGGCCCTTTGACCTACCCAGGCTCGGCAGTGGCTGGCGCAGCTCCTGAAGTTGTGCAGGAAGGGTCATCGCTGAGCGAGCTGGAGCATCATCTGGCAGGCAAGACGCGGGCCAACAACTCTATTCAATTATATCTTCCCTAGTGGGACACATTTGCGACCACCTCAACTTCATTTAACCCACCATCGTATCAGTTATTGTTTCAACAAGAAGTGCCAGTGCGGGAGATTTCAGGAATCCAAATATTGCGTGGATTCCTTGGTGAACAGACTTTTTTTTTTTTTTTTTAAAGTTTCCTAAATTTGGGAGGGAGGCATCTTCAGCAATATGGTGCCTAATTATTTGAATGTAATTATGATGATCTTTTTGAACACGTAAGATTTGGGGAAATGTCATAAATGAGGACTGAAGTTCTTTCATCTTAACCAGTTTAATTTAAATTATTTCAAAGAAGATGGTAACCCGTGAATATAATTCCTTAAAGTGGGATACAGAGAACTCTTAAAAGAAGATGGGAGAGAATTGTTGGTGCTGACATTTTCCCAATGGTGGAAAATTCATTTTGTGATTCACATGATATGAGTTGGATAAATGTGTCTGCAGCTATCTGGGTGCAATTTTCTAGTCACAGACTGGAATTTTAATTTTGACCTCAATAAATTAAATTTTCAAAGGTGACATAACCAGAGAACCTGTGGTTTACATTCAGGCACTTGACATTATTTTCCAAACCACCCCTGTTTCTGAAACACACCTAAAATATTTAAATTTAAATTTACTTTCTTTTACTAGTAAAGATCTCTATACATATTTTACACTCACCACAACTTGGAAACAATTTCCTATTTAAATTTTTCTTTCTCTTCAGAGGCAACTCAGGCTGACTAGTAATTCGGTTCTTAGTTTTATAACATTGGAACATTTCTTTAAAAATTATACAACTTTAGGGTTTTTCAAAAAATTTTTTTACTACAGGGATTCTAAAAAATGAAAATAGGGCTATCCCTATTAGATCAGTTACAAAAGAATAAAAAGCGTTAAAATATCCTATCACCCCATAGATCTGCCTCCAGCCCTCCCCTGTCTCATTCTTGCTAGCAGTGAAGAGTTTCTCTCCACATAATCTAACATGGAACGCTTGGAGCAGACAGGTGCAAATTGCAAGCCGTTTCACTTTGGCTCTTTTCCCTTAAATCGACAAGGTAATAGACAAGGAGAACAAAAAGGATTCCGGCCCAGGCTGCATAAATGAAAGTCTGAACAGGGACCCACCAGCTGGATGGGAGGATTCAGTGTAGTGAATACTAAATATCACCTTTATGCCACTTTCTGAGCAAAGGTCTTCAAGTGCACTCCTTGCCTTTTTGACATATTCTTTCCAAGTCACATTTTGCTGGCTTATAAAGGTGGCCTGATGGCCAAAGTGGCCCAATGACCGAGGTAGATGAGAACAAGAACCAACATACCTTCTCCTTTCTGCCATCATTCCACTCCTCCCTGTGACTCAGGCATGATTAGCTTCCTGGACTTGGGCCAGATTGACAGTATTTCTATCCATGTCTCTTTTGGCTGATCCAAGTAAGCCCCAGAGCAGTGAAACAACAGAACGATCACCAACCTCCCAAGATGAATCTGCTGAGCTAGCCTGCTGGAAAAAAACAATTGTTCATATTAGGAACACCTAGGAAGAGACACACCAAGGCAATCTGTGTAGGAATCTAAGGAATGGATTTTGGAAAAGGGTTTCTAACTCTGTCATTCCAAAATAGCTTCTCTCCATCACTTTCCAGTGTGCAATGGCACTGCTGTCCTCAAGACAGAACTTTTACTTGAGCTTTGAGGCCACTGACTTTGTTTGACTGTGTGAGCTGCCCCAGCAGATAAGGGTAGGGCGACATCCCTAGCTGGCCTTGTTTACAGCTGGACAGAAGAAAACAGCCAGACGTAAATGAGGGCTGACGGTTTCATGAAGCACAATTGGTTGATCCCAGATGCAATGTGACTGCCTTGAACTGAGCGATGATCCGTACAGTATGCAGAATTCACTCTCTGGCTGGTCTGTGCCCACCAGCCTTGGAGGGACCTCCCTGCACCCCTCAGCCATGGATCTGAGTGCAACCAGAGCTGAACAGCAGCACCATGGGACCGATTCCTTCTGACAACAATCACATTCTTTTCCAAACTTCATGGATCTGGGTTGTCACCGGTTATAAATGAGTTTGTTGCTGCTCATGTGTGCTACCCTATGGTAAATTTTCTTTGGGGTTGAGAATGTTGGCATCAGAAGATATTTGTTGCTTTTTAATGAAAAGGAAAATATCACTGGAAACATTGTCACTTGTTAAAAATCTCAGGCAGTTTTTTTCCCCTCTGTTCAAGTAATAAATTATTGCTTTCTTCTACATTATATAATATGTTCACACTGAATAGGATAAACTTTCCAAAATTAAACAAAGCTGATTTTCCAAGTTAAGCACACATGTGAAAGAAATGTGTTACCTTTCAAGTATGTAAGTTTTGGAGGCCTCCCAAACTATATCATTGTGCTTATAATTCACATTACAGTATGTTCATTTAAAAATCTAAGAGGTAGATCTGATGTTTGTTTGTACCACAATTAAAAAAAAAAGCTTAAAAACATGTTACCAGAAACTGCTCACTTTGATTTGATTTAGAGTTACTTTGCATTATTTTATCAGCTAAATAGAAACATAATGGAAAAAAGCCAGCAGGCATTTCCATAGTAGATTTAGTTCAGATTTCTTGATATTTTGCTTATCTTCGAAACTGAATAGATATAAGTGAACAGCAGAAAGATGCTGGTGACTAAATTTAGTTTCTTTAATCTAATTTTTGAAATATAATGAAGATTATTTAATAAGTTAATGTGAACTTATTAAAAATGATAACATTTACATAAATGCACTAACTTAACTGATAACAAAATGAATTGATATAAAATGTGAGTGAAGGATTATGTTCTGTGAGCTAAGGAGATAAAATCTCATCAGGAAAGAGTCTAAATTGAGAAGGGGGAGGGCAAGTGCAATTTACACTGCTTAAAGGTGCCCATGTGTAAAGGAGAGAAAAGAGTGAGGAAATTGGTGGAGAGAAGGTGGAAATCACTCCTAATTTCCTCCTGAACATGTGTTAGCAGTAAAGAGGTCACTGAATACAAACCATCGCCTGCTAGTCCTCTCACAGGACTCATCTTTGGTGTGTACAGCCAGACATGTTCCTTTAAAACATGTGAACTTGTGAAAATATCTTGGAGACCTTTGTAGCATGAGAAGGCAACTGCACCATTTCATTTGAAGTCCTTAGTAAGGAAATGAGGTCCATTAATAGGCCACATCCATCTATTTAAAAGCATGTTTAACTGTATCTGAAAGGAGTGAAGTGCCAAAATTACTGAACCATGTCAAACTAGTATCTGCTGCTACAGCAGATGAGGCTGGGAAGAAACAATCGCACCCCGACCTCTTTCTCAATAAAATGTCGCAACGTTCAGGGCAGTCGTGAACTATGGCTTTGAAGAGTTTATCAAGTTTTTCATGAATGTTGTCTAATATTTTTATACTAAAATCTAGAAACTATGTAAATTCATGTAATCTATTTTCAATTGTTATTTATAGCATACATTTTAACTCATGAGTATAATTCTAGGCATCAAAGCAATTTTTGGGTTTGTATCAGATTCTGCAACAGTCTTCTGGATGTAGTTTATATCATTTCAATAAAGCAATTACCCACAACACCCCATTTTACCTAACTATGGATGTGAAAGGAAGTATCAGAAAATCAGAAGTCTTTAACCAAAGGGAGAAAAACAAAACAAAACATGTTTTAAAATTCTTTGGGCTTTTCTCTAAATAAGATTCATTATGCATTTTCTTTAAAGGAAGACCTTGAAATATTAGTTGAAAGCTTTTTTTAGTTGTAATCTTTACTCATTATTTGAGAAAAAGTCACTTATTATTTTTTTTAATTTTTATTTTATTCATGTGTGCATACAGTGTTTGGGTCATTTCTCCCCCCTGCCCCCACCCCCTCCCTTACCACCCACTCTGCCCCCTCCCTTTCCCCCCCACCCCCTCAATACCTGGGAGAAACTATTTTGCCCTTATCTCTAATTTTGTTGTAGAGAGAGTATAAGTAATAACAGGAAGGAACAAGTGTTTTTGCTGGTTGAGATAAAGATAGCTATACAGGGAGTTGACTCACATTGATTTCCTGTGCGTGTGTGTTACCTTCTAGGTTAATTCTTTTTGAGCTAACATTTTCTCTAGTTTCTGGTCCCCTTTTCCTATTGGCCTCAGTTGCTTTAAAGTATCTGCTTTAGTTTCTTTTGTTGAGGGCAACGAATGCTATCTAGTTTGAGAAAAAGTCAATTTTTTTTTTGTTGTTGTTTCTTTTTTTTAGTCAGTCTCATTAGGTAGTCCAGTCCGGTCTTGAACTTGTGATCCTCCTACTTCTGTCTCTTGAGTTCTTTAATTACTGGCACATCACCATGACTGACTCTAAAGACCTTTTGAGTACACTTCAAAAAAATTTTGTTTATGGTGATATGAAATAACTTTTTAACCTATTGTACACTAATATTTGTTTTAAGTTACAGATTCTGTGAAAACCAAATCCTGCAGTTTGGTTAACTATATAGCATAACTGTAATTTTTCAACATATTTTAAAGTTATTTTGCTATTTATGTGACTTTACTATATATGATTGAATTTTTATGATGTTATAAGAATAATAAAAGCGTTTTTGAAAGAAGTCAGGTTTATTGTAAACATAACTAAAAATGGGAATACTAGAAGTACCACACACTTATTAAAAACAGTGCCATAGGGTTTCAAAGCAGACAAGATGTTTTAAAATTCTGAATTTAAGCATCAAAACATAGTTAAAAGAGTTGTTCGATGATGAGCTATCTTTTATATATAAATGTGGTTTGCTGATTTCTATAGGCTTTATCTTTCTTGCATTTTTATTTCCTGTTAACCTAAATTTTGTAACTTAATCTGACTTTGAGCATTTTTACCATTAATAGTTTTTTTAAAATTATATTTAGTCTGACAGTTGCCAAGTATTAATTTGGAACTTGTAAGAGTCTGAGTTCCCTAATAATATTTCTAGCTATTCGTTTTCATGTTCACCATTTATTATGCATTCTAATAACAATAGGTTTTTCAGTCATGTAAATGAATGAATTCTGATTTTCTGTGGTATGGCATTTTATAAAATCTTTGTGGATCCCCTAGAGTATGACTTTCTTGATTTTTTACATTATTTTGCTTGTTACTGAAATTTAGGAAGATTGGGTTATACATATAACCCTGACTGGATTTAAATAACTAATCTTTTCACATAGTGGATTCTAGCACTTTAGAACAAATATGGATGCAAACAAGTACAAATCAAAGCAAGATAATTCTGTCCTACCAAAATGAAATTGCATTGTAGTGCAGACTGAACGAATGCAAATTGACCAATGCAAGATTTTCTGCGCAAGTTTTCCAGCGCTTTTAATTTGTTGAGGGCTCTTTGTATTAATTAAAAATGATAAAAACAAAGTATTTTAATGTGACCTTCATTTGGCATTTGTATTAACTTTTCTTATCCTATTTTATTTAATTCTTCCATTTCTGATGTTCAATTAGTGTTTGACCCCTTTAGGATAGATGTAAATTAAATGACATTTCAATGCCACCCCATATTTAAAATACTGTGTTAGTTGTGGATCATAAATGATGATCTTCATTCTTTAGCTAATTTATTCATTTAACAATTTCCCTCCAGAAGTTTCAGCAGAAGGCTCTGAAGCAAACTAAGCAGAAGAAAACCAAGTCGGCTGAATTTCTGATGGGTGAGCCTTGCTTGATGAGTTATTGCTCATAATTTGTGTAAGGATTAATTAACTAATTACAGACAAATGGCTGTGGGCGAAATTTTGCTCTTGCTTGTCAGGGTGCAATTTGTAATTATTTTAATCATTTATTCTTTTTTTTAAGAGTTAATTTTAACCTAATTCTGTTTTGGTGACATTTGAGGACGATACACTTGAGTCTTTCAGCACAAGAATTACTGGAAGGAATTTTCTGCTTGTCATTGGAATCTATTTTGCTATTGTATGATCTTCTGACCTCCTTGTTTTGCTCTAGTTAAAGAAGATAGAGAAGCTGCAGAAGGCATTGGAAATCCAGCTTTTAACATGAGCATCCCAGATCTCACAGCATGTCAGATTTCAGAAGAGAAAGTTATTAGACATGACATGCCGGATCGCACCCTTGAAGCCCACGAACAAAAATTCAGGCTGCCAGCCTCTGCAGAACCAAAAGGTGTGACTTCAGTCTTGATTAACCTCACGCTTGGTGACAGTTGCTGCCCTGCTAATCTGACCTGGGCATCCTAGAACAGGCACCGGGCACTCCACTCCAGCGTGCCTGCACAGGCTTCCTGGGAGGCTCTGGATAGAACTCAGCAGGCAGTCCTTAAGAATCGATTTTGACATTGGTATGCAGGCTATAAGCTCATAGATGAGGGATGCTGAGCAGTGAAGCTACCCTTATTTGTGAGGTGGGGTGCTGCTGAGATGGACCTGGTCAGTAGGACTCTGCTGCTGACAGGTGTTTAAGGGCTGGTGCTGCCATTTGTAAGATGTCAAATTTGAGGACTATGATGGTACCCCACTTTGGGTTTCAAACCCTAACACTTCCCTCCTTCAGATGAAAATATGTTTCTCTATAGGTTTAAAAATAAATGCGGGAAGCACACTTGAGTATTTAGAATTTCTCTTCAGAAATTTCACTGTAAGAAATAGCTTCCTTGGTTTCTCACTTGGGGGTATCTTTGATGGTGGACACTAGAATGGACACTACGTAGGCAAGGGGAACGTACACTTTGCATCCACCAATACAAGATGTTGGCTCCTCCTATTCTAGAGAGAGACAGCTCTTCCATGCTCTGATCCATTTGCTGCCCAGATGAAAGATGACTCTATACCTACAACAAAAGAAGTCATTAAAACTTGCTGTCTCTGCTCTTATCTTTATCACTGAACAAGAAAGACATGAGAATTTAATGACCAGATAGCTTTTTGAGAGGAAACTTTGTGAAGTAATGAAGCATGAGCTGGCACAGATGTGTTCTCTGCTGGTCCCACTTAGCAGCCTCATCATGATTTCCACCTGTACAGAACAGGCAACACACATCCCAGTAGGTTAACATGGTGCTGCCCAGATCATTTAGTTGGTGATTTTTAATTCCTAAGGCCTGGGGGAAATTCTTCCAGCTTCTAGGTTTCTACTATGTTGTATCAAGCATGTCTACATCTGTAGATTTAGCTTGTCTCTTACTTAAGGAAAGAAAGAAAGCTTGTGTGTACTACTGTGTTTTCTTTTAAGTCAGTAGCCCAGTGTCCAGATGGAGAGCTGTCAATAAAATGACAATTCCATTCTTGAGTGCTTATTATATATTAATCAATATACCAGGCATTTTATGTACTGTATCTTTTTTGATTTCATATTTGTTTGGTGAGGCATCCTAGGCTACAAATTCAGTCAATGCAATAAAAGCCACAGTAACAGTGTTCAGGCAACATTAGTCCCTTTTTATTTTGTTGCTTGTAATTTCTAAGGTTCTCATCTGAATGGTCCAAAGTGATTTGTTCCAAGCACTGACAGGCAAAGAAGAAGGCCATGTACAGGAGTTAGATATGTCACTGCTGTTCATACCCCTTTTGTTAGAATCTGTTCACCTGGCCACAGGCAGCTCTAAGAGTGGCAGGGAAATACCTTTAGCTGGGAGCCAAGTTTCATGCTATTGTTAAAGAAGAAGAGAATGTTAGGCACCAGCTAGCGGACCCCACCCCAGGTACATTTGATTACTGTCCTCATTTTATAGATGGGGGAACCAAGGTTATAAATTGGCTCAGGTAAGCCAGACAGTGAATGGTAGAATGAGAGATTAAATAAAAACTTCTTTTGACTTCATGGCCTGAGTGTTCCATCTATCTGCCACATGGTTGTGTGAGATGTCACAAAAGGGACAGGGCTTGGGAAGGAATGTCAGTGTCACATCTAGTGTCTAGAGCCAGGTCAGACATACAATGTCAGCAAACTAGTGGACTGATGGATTCTGGCTGCTGTGGACAGTACCCAGGACTGTGAAGGGACTTTAGAGCCTCTTGGCAATCACTTGGCTCTGCAGCCAACTTGACTCTGAAGACAAATTTCTAGTGCCCAAGAGCAGTTTTTCAATCTTTCATTCCTGTGTTAGTCAACTTTGTGCTAGTGTAACAAACACATGAGGGAAACCAGCCTTTACAAGGGGAAAGGTTGATTTTTGGTTCATGCTTCCAGAGGCTTTGGTCCTTCGTTGCTTGGCTTTGGTGCTTTGGGCCTATGGTAGCACAGTATATCATGGTGGGAACATGGGACAGAGGAGGCCTGTTCACCTTGTGGTGGCATAGAGAGAGAGAGAAGAGACAGAAAGAGAGAGAATGAGAGAGAGAGAGAGAGAGAGTGAGAGAGAGAAAAGAATAGCACTTGGGATCCCAAATCCCCTTCAAGGGCACATCTCTGATCTTCTTCCCACTAAGCTCCATCTCCTAAAGGTTCTGCCACCTCCAAGTAGTACCACAGGTTGACTATGAAACCTTTAGTATATGGGTTTTGGGGGACATTTCAGGCCCATACTACAGCGATTACCTTGATGGGAAAGTCAGGTCTTACTAAGTGGTTGTAGTAACACCTGAGTAGAAAGATGTGTCCTTTAGTCTAGCAGAGGATGGAGCCTACCTTCTTTATAAATTCATGTTCTACAGAGGTGGTCATATTTCTTCACTGAGAATCCATATTTCCTTGGGGCAAAAGATACTGGGAAGCTTTGTGAAAACCTCAAAGCCTTGAGGTTTTAAATAGATATTCAGAGTGGGGTACCACTTGATGCTTAGCTATTTGACACTCAATAAAATGAGGCATGGAAAATAATTAAACTTAGGGCTCATCAGTGGTAGAGATATGGATATAGACAAATAGATAGACAGAGTCTTAGGGTAGAAGTTCATTTCACAGGCAAGCACTATCTAGTAGAAATATACTATGAGCCACAGAAGCAGTTTTATATTTCCTAGTAACCACTTCAGTGAAATGAAGAAGGAACATGATTTAATTTTAAGAGTAAATTTTATCTTAGCCAATATCTCAAAAATATTATCATTTTAGCTTATAATTAATGTAGAAATTTAGAGGTATTTTATGATTTTTTGGCACAAAGTCTTTGAAATCCAGTGTGTATATTACTACTAATTTTCCTACAAGCTAGCCTTATATCAAATTCTGTAGGCAATTATCTATGAGTTCAGTCCTTCTGTCTGAGAGATAAGAATGTACATAGAAGTTAAAATTTTCCTGTTTGATAGTTGGCCTTATTCTGGAAAATAGAAGAAAATTTATAATCCAAAAGTACAACACAGTGGAAGAAACCAAAGAAAAAGAAGTTTACATGGAAAATCCAGGAAATATTTATTCTCATCCTTACCAATCTAGTCAGAAATAGAAAGGGGACATCTCTGTTCTGGAACAAAGCCAACTTAAAAATATGCATTTGATGCATCTCTATCCCCTATTTAGGGAGATCTTCCAAAAATTCTATTGCAAATAAGATGTGTAATTTTATGGTCAGTGAACAAGGAAGAATATTTTAGATATGTAAATTTTGAGACTGCTATATATAAAATGCAATTTTATTGTTGGTACAACTTAAGGGAATATTTGTCTTATCTGCCAGTGTTAGACAAAATAAAATACACATTTTCCCTATGGTATTGTTAAATTAGCACAAATTATCATCTTATAAGTAAATATCAATGTATTTCCCCTTTAAAGACACTTTAAAAGGAAAACATCATGAGGGCAGAGTTCCAGTGCTTCTTTATTTATCCTAGTTATCTCAAAGAAATGCAAAATTATGAGATAAATAGAAATTTATGAAAGAAATATCTAAGAAAGGGATTTTCTAAAACTAAACTAGATAAAAAAGATTTCAAATTTATGATGGCTCAAGTCCCAGAGTATATAGAAAAGTAATTAAAGTGTACAATGATTTTTATTTTATAGATAAGCAACTCCCAAGTAGAGTGGTAGGATTTTTTTTTGCCATGCTAGGGTTTAAACTCAGGGCCTACACCTTGCGTCACTCCATCAGCCCTTTTTTTATGGGGTCTTGCCAACTATTTGCTCAGGCTGGCTTCGACTCATGATCCTCCTGATTTCTGCCTCCTGAATAACTAGGATTACAGGTGTGAGGTACTGCACCTGGCGAGTGGTAGGATTCTAAGATTGTCTGCAAGGCCTTCACATGTCTTCAGATCCCACTGTGCAATTCATTGTGAAGGTATCCATAGAGGCTTAGTCACCTGGACATCCTCAGGAAAGATGACCATAATCTGTGCAGCTGGTCAGTGTAAGTTGGTAGCAGTCATTTTTGTCAGGTATGAATAGGAAACAAATAGAACAAGAGGAAACAACTCTCAGTCCTTCTGTCCTGATGTTGCCCCATCTTCTTCTAGTTGGCTCTGCCTTTGCATACCTACTTCCAAGGAAAGTCTATCAGACTTTACTTCATACTCTTCTTTCAATCCTATTGGCTTTTGTGGGCAGACAATTAGTAAATTACCAAGAGAATTTACACATATGCCTTGCCTTTGGCCTCATGCCATGGCTCCACCTTGTCTAGAACCTGTGTTTCATGCTCTTGACCCAGTATCATTGCTCATCCTCTTTGCTCATTGCTGGCGATGCCCTGGCCTAATGATGAAAGGGAGGCTCAGAATTGCAGCACTTGAAAAGGGAAAGGGGTAGAGAAACCACAGCTGCTTAGAATTTTGAAGAGATTGGGAATTGGCTTAGGTTGCTAACTCAATGAGGCCTCAGGGCTGGGTAGGTAGAAAGAACATCTCAACATTATGAATACATAGCATGGTAGCACTAACATGATAATTAATACCTGAATTCTAAATGGCAGTAAAATGAAATCTGGAACAGGTATGAAAAAGGACCATGAAAAGACATGGATAGGAAGAAATAAAAATAATTACAGAAGTGGGTAGATGGACTAATGGTACGTGGGAAGGTTTTTCTTTTTAATTCCTATATTTCACCAATGTCAAATTGGAAAGGAAATTAATAGAGTCAACTTCATACCTTATTAATTAGGTTGGCATAGCTATACTTACTAATAAAAGATTTGACCCTCCTTTTCCCCATTTTCTCCCTGGGGTTGAGGATGACAGGTTTTGTGTGTGTGTGTGCTCCTTTGCTAGACACCTCATGGTGGT